AGAGGACACTGGGGCCAACCATCAATGCAAAAGCGAGCAGCAGAGGATGCACTCGACTAAAATACTGTGATGGCAAAAAGGAGTTCAACAACGTCTTCACCTACACGAAAAGAGTGTCGTGATCCGGATTTGGACTGGGGATGCTGCGGGCACAACACAAAGTACTAAACACTATACAGAGAAAGCAAACCACTCTCTCAGGCCTGCACACGGCCGCTTAGAAGTGACTGAACATACATAGTCGACAGCAAGCTTCAGCTCGTTTCTCTAAAGTCCCCCACCACTGCTTGCTGAGACAGCAAACAAGCATTACAGAAGGCAAAACAACACCAAATGCTGGGAAATAACACATCGCCACATCTTTTCTTGAAGAGGAAGCCCACCTCCCTCAAAGGCTGGTAAGAGGACAGCAAGTGATTAGGGGAGGTCTGCAACAAACTGACAGACCTTATAATAGAATGGGCATAATAGAATGGGCAAAATCACAGATGATCTGGGCCTATTTGAAACGGTGCTCACTTCAGGCTTGAAAAGAGATGTGGGTTTCCTAATATACGTGCTGCATATGAAGTTAAAGAAAAAATCAGCTCGTACACAGCTCCTGTCGCAAACAGACAAAGTGACGAGGATCCACGTAGTCGGCAGGGTTCAAACCTGGGCGGGGAGACCCCAACGGATTTCGAGTCCATCGCCTTAACCTCTCGGCCACGACTACTCCTGCCTGTGAGTCACATGCTATTTTCTTTTCTGGATGTGAGAAACAGAGAACACCGTGGCCAACCATCAATGCCAATGTGAGCAGCAGAGGATGCACTCGGCTAAAGTACTGTGATGGCAAAAAGGAGTTCAATGACAAGGTACAGGCACCTCTGGGATTTAACAGCACTTTCTCCATATTGAATTAAATTGAATCCATCTTACCCCTTGAAGGGTGCGGTTGAGAGTGCCAGCCCAACCCCCAGTCCTTTAGTGGGGGCTCGGGAGCAGACACTCTGCTACTGTTAAGAAATGTTTGAGAAAAGTTCCCACGCTGCCAAAAAATCTACTAAGAGAACCAGTCTCTCAAGACTGGTCTATGTGTTACTAGAGCGACCGATTCGGTGCCCTGTATGGCGAACCGGCAGGGAACAACCGAACTGACTGCTCTGAGACTCTCCTCAGAGGGGACAAGCATCCCAGTGCCGCTACGTTTCCGGGCGAACACGGAGATATGGGCTTGTCGGAGACCGTTCCGTCCCGACGCACACGAGGTGGCGAGGTTGGTAGAACGGCCCCTTGAAAGCATCGAAGGGAAATGGGCACCATATAGTGAGGTGCTAAACACTTCCCCCTGGAAATTAAGAGAACCAGCCTCTCGAGACTGGTCTCTGGTATTACTCAAGCGACCAATTCGATGCCCTGAAGCGGTGAACCGGCAGGGAACAGCCGAACTGATTGCTCTGAGACCCTCCTCGGAGGGGGCGAGAATCCCAGCGCGCTACGTTTCCGAGTGGACACTGAGATAAGGACTCGCCTGAGACTAGAACTTGCTGGAGACCGTTGTGCCCCGAAGCACACGAGGTGATGGGGTTGGCAGAATGGCCCCTGAGGGCACCGAAGGGAGATGGGCACCATATAATGAGGTGTTATTCATTTCCCCCCAGGAATTTCACCAGTTATTTCCTCAGAATTAAATGCAGCCAAAGATCAACCAGACAAGTAAACACGGTCTGGATGAAAGGCTGAATAGTATATTAATACAGACATCTAACTCCTCAGAGATCAGATAAGTAGCTATTATTTAATTTTTGAGAAAATTAAATGCAGCCAAATATCAACAAGAGAAGTAGAAATGGTCTAGGTGAAAGGCTGAATATAGTGTATTAATACAGACATAAACTCAGATCAGTATTTAACATTTAATTTCATCACAATTAAATGCAGCCAGATATCAATCAGATAGAACTTGGTCTGGAGGAAAGGTGGAATCTATTATTTTCATACATCTACTTTTAAAGCCAGACAAATATTTCATTTAATTTCTCAAAATTAAATTCATACTATAATCTCAAACACAAAAAGAACCATAAATAATAGTCTACAAACACATACCGGTAATTAGTTTGCACACAATAAGAGAAAGAAAGGGAAATTCCCATCTGCTCAGTTCCCTGCGCATATATATATTGCGGACCCATTAGGCTTGTTTGAGATGAGCAAAATCTGCGCAGAACCGATCACCGGTGATCACCGCGAGATGCATGCCGGTTAGAAATGTGTCCTAGTGCGGTCCGCCTTGCTCTGATGTCATGCTGACTTATGTCAAAAAACTCTCGTGAGCGCAAGGCAGACGTGTCGAATTCATAGACAGTAAAAGAAATGGACACAGCGACCCCATAGATTTCAACAGAAAAGTGAAGCCGATTAGAAGCACTCACTTCTTGATGGCTGAGCGTACTGTGCAGGTTTAAAATGAGCTTGACGACGTGAGCAACCTGTCTGACAGTTGTAAGTCTTCTAGTAGCTGTGCCAAGAGGAATCTGAATCATTCCCTTCCGAATCTTGCAGAGCCGGAGAGCGTGAGTAGCTGTCCATGAGCTAGCAGCAGGAACAACTTTGTGACGCTTTAAGGGCTTCTTCCTTGACTTTATGCCTCCACGTCCCCCTGATTGCCTGCGAGCTTCTCCTTCTGTCTATACGATAATTTCTCTACTGTGCGACAGAGAGTCGCGTGGTTATAAAGAAATCATTAGCCTATTTTTACAAAAACGGCTTCTACGGGGCCATAACGTAAGATACAAAGTAGTGGTGCCTTTTATACATTGTCGTGTTTCTTTAGAAATAAATAATGGACAAATTGAGTCTTTGGATGCCTCAGATGTAAAGTTATTCGCTGTCAAAGTGACGCCAAAATGAATGGGAGTCAATGGAATGCTAACAGCAGGTGATGGTCTGCTACAATGGCGGCCCCCGGGGGAAGCTTCAGTTTCCGGCTGATGGATTACCCCCTTGGTCAAATTCTGCAGTCGAGCGCAGTTGCTCTCCACCAACTGCACTGATCAAAAGCATGATGGGAAACGACTTGCTGACGACACAGCTTAATGCTCATTGGTTTAAACAACCGTGATGTATTGTTCTATTTTAAAATTTTTGATTTTAAAACTCTGATATCATGTTTTATGTGTATAAATTATGTGTGAATATTCCCAAACTCTCTGACAGTGCGATCTCTATATGGGTTGTGATGTAATTTTTATTAAAAAAATATAAAAACACATGTCTCTATTAAAGAAAAAAAAAGATTGATAAACACGTATTTGGAATGGGATTACTTTGGGTGTCTTGTTCATTATATTTATTTTCATAAAAGTAACAGAACTTAAATTTTATCCAGTTTATTAGTTTATTAGTTTATTAGTCGGACATATCTCTCTTCTCGCAATGGATCAGACACCTGTGAGATCAAAGATGGATTGCTAATAAACTGGATGTAATTTAAGTTCTGTTGCTTTTACATGAAAATAAATATAATGAACAAGAAACCCAAAGTACGTGTTATTTAATTACATACCAAAGATGTGTTTATCAATCATTTTTACTTTAATTACAGACATGTTTTGTCACCATTGTTGATATATGTGTGTCATGGTAGATTAACTTTTTGTGCTCATCTTTGTTACAATCTTTTAACTGATTGTTATAATATTGGTGGATCTTATGCTGCAGTAACACAGGGTTTGTGATGTGAATATATTAAAGGTTTAACTGTTACAGCGGCAGTCTGGTAAGTAATAAGTGAAGCTGGTAATGCTGTTTGTGGAGTTGTTTAATCCTCCTCTGCTGAGATCTTCACAGATTTAATGTCTTCTTTTCTCTTCAGTTGATTTCATCTAAGACTGTGGCTGGAAGTCAGTTTTAGTTCTTGTGTTTCCGCTCGTCTCTTTTTCTGTTCTCTTATTTCCTTCAGTGATTCTGCTTGTTGACAGACTTATTAAGGCTGAGATGACTCCATATTTAATATACAACGATTTTGTGGCTCAGATAAGGTCCAGTTCTGGTTTATTTCTTTGCTCTTGGCTGACATGTGGCACTACTATGGCCTGCTTGTGGCCCAGATCTGGCAAACAGGAGTGGGCTGGTCATTCCACGCTGCATGTGGGCCAGATCATCTTTGTGCCAAAAACGCTGTATTCTGCTGCCAGGCCATCAGATGGCGATGAAACACTATAGACTGAACATGTAATATGCATATGCATGACTTCATCATCTTCAGAGATTCATGTTTTACTGAGACCGTTTTCAAAAACTTGCACTTTAAAACCGTTCCCGAACGTTTTCAGGCCACCAAAACACTGTTGTTCTGTAAACAAACGGCCAAATGAACAAAAGGTTTTACGTTTTTAGTTGAAAACAGTGTTGTGTAAACAGCCCCACAGATTAATAAACAAACTGAAAACGTGACAGTATTAGAAGCTTACAACTTTGAGTAAAACATCATTTAGAAATTTAGGCAATCATTTTCCCCATATTTTCTAAGTAGGCCTACACTCAACTAATTACATTTTACAGTGTACATTTATAGTCACATATTTCAATATATGAAAAGTGGCAATTCCTTATGTATTATACAATATCTTGTATTATAGGCTATATTAACAATAGGCTATATTTACACAATATATTATTTCATATATTTTTCAGTATATTTACACCATTTAATGTATTGACCATAAATATATGGAAAGGTCTACATAAGTTGTTTCAATATCAACGTTGGGATATTAAGATAATTTCTTGATTTGTAAAGTGTAGGCTACTGCAAAATTTCAATTCACCAAAAATGCAAGCTAGAAACAGAAATCAAAACAGTCCAAAGTAACCCTGTCCAATCCAGTTCACGTCTTTGATCCCTGGTAAACAAGTTGCTCATGCTAACTATGTAGGCCTGTATGTAATTTTCTCTGAAATGGAATAGCCTCGGTGCTTACCACTAACCCCGCCTCCAGAAGCCCGTTGAACGCGACTGATGAGACTCTCAATATAGCGAACTAAACGAAGGCAGAGAAGATGAGGATGATGCAGTGGCTCAATTCATTATTTTTCATTTGGATTCACTGTCAGGTTTGCAGGACAGAGTTTGAGCTGACTTTACTCCACACTAATGATGTCCACGCACGAGTGGAGGAGACCAACAGAGACTCAGGCAAATGCAGTAAAGCGCCTTGTTTCGCTGGAGTTGCACGGAGATTTACGAAAATCAAAGAAGTTCGTACCAAGGAGAAAAATGTTCTGCTGCTGGACGCGGGGGATCAGTTTCAAGGGACCGTCTGGTTTAACTTTTACAAAGGCGCAGAAGCGGCGTATTTCATGAATAAACTCGGATACGATGCGATGGTAAGAATTTTATGCCCACAATTATCGGGTTCACGAAAACTTAGGGTAATTGGTTTGTAGGTAAATAATTAAAAACGTCTGTAAGGCAATAACGCTTGATGCTCTTTTTGAAAGTTAAATATTTTTTACATTGTCCTGTGTGTGTCCTTGTGCATGGAGCAACAATTTAAAAAGTATGCAATTGAGGATGGCGTAAAAAAAGGGCAAATGCAAGGCTGCATTTAATTAATCAAAAATACAGTAAAACTTGAAATATTGTAAAATATTATTACAATTAAAAATAATTGTTTTCTATTTTAATACATATAAACATGTAATTCATTCCTGTGATGACAAAGCTGAATTTTCAGCATCGTTAGTGGAGAGTGGGGTGGTTGCACTCCAATCAGTAATGAGCTAGAGAGAGAGAATATTCATGTTACACATGCTCAGTTAACCCCTCTTCCTTACTAGTAAAATGCATTCACATATAACCATTCCTTCTGCAAAAAATAGATTTCAAGTTAAAAAAGTATTTTTTACATGCATTGTAAAAAAATCCTAATTTTACAGAAAATAACTGATTTGTTGACGATCATTTTCTTTCATTTTAAATTCTACTCAAAACACTGTAAAATTACAAATACAAATTCAGCTGTTATTTTACATATTGTGACATTAATGACAAATTCCAAAAATTCACATTTTTTATACAGAAAATGTATTATATTTTTCATACAGTATATTTTTCTAAATGTATGTACAATTACCAATATAATCTGTAATTTAACAGTAACAAAACAGTTAAATGATAAAACGGTTAAATGACTGGCAGCCCCCCAAAAAACGGTAACATTAAATTAAAACATCCTAAATTAAATAAACTGAAAAACACTGTTATTTTACAGGTATTTCCTGATCATATACCTTCATTGTAAAAAAAAAAAAAAAAAAAAAACTTAAAAAAGGGTCAAATGACTGGCAGCTACGGCTGCCAAACAAAAACCATAAAATTAAAGTAAAGTATTATAATTTAAATGAACGAAAAAACTCTGTTATTTCACAGGTATTCCCTGCATTATTATGATCAAATACCTTCATTGTAAAAAAAGGGTCAAATGACTGGCAGCTATGGCTGCCAAACAAAAATCATAAAATTTAAGTAAAATATGCTAATTTAAATAAAGTGGAAAAAACTTTAACAGAAATTTAATGTCACCATGATTGAGATCAGTGTTTGCTTTAGTTGGGCTCATGACCCTTGAGTTTTAACATTAGTTTATCTCTGGCTGCTTTACCTGTGTTTTGATACACATTTGTTAAGGCAAAAAATCTAGGAGAAAATCTCATCAGATGATGTTGATCATTTATTGGTGATGTTATAGTCTAGGGTGGCCATAATTTGATTACCAAAAGCAAGGACACTCGGCCCGGCAAAAATGATACTCGAAGTTTACTCAAAGATGCCTTATTAATTTCAATACATTTAAAGTAGGCTATGCCTCCTCTGTATGGACAGAAAATGGTTATATTACAAGACACAAATTCAGATAGGCTTCTCAGAGGTTACTCAATATGTTTTATTATGACATGTTTAAAAAATAATGAATGAAATAATGATAGAAATAATGTATCTTCTGTATTAGAAAAATAAATATATAACAATTATATAACTAAAAGAAATACCTCCAAATTGAACAAAAATAGCTCTCACAAACTTACAAAAACGAACTAACAAAATATATTTATATCTTTAGTTTTCTTCCTCTTTATCCTGTTTTTCTTCCTCATCCTCCTTCTTTGCCCATCTATATTTTGCTGTAGAGTTTATCTTTCCCAGCAGTTTTTTGAAAACCAGGACATTTTCATCACTTTATAAAAAACAGCCAGGACAGGACGTGAAAACAGGACATGTCCTGGGAAAACAGGTCTCTTGGTCACCCTATTACAGTCATCATGTGTTGACCTGATTCACTGATAGGACAGTCAAATCTCTGAATATATTAGCTGAGATTACATTACATATAGATGGACTTTAGTTTTATACAAAGTCTATGATTAATGTCATAATTTTTCACATGACCCTTGAAATATTGTGGCGTAAGTATTATAACTAGGGCTGGTATTGACACAAATTTCACAATTCAATTTGATTTCGATTCAAAAGCTTGCAATTCGATTTCGATTACGATTCGATTCAATATTGATTATTTTGGATATCAGGTACAATACATGGCAAATTTTTTCAAGGAAAACAAATCTCTTAACTAATGCTGTAAACTATGGGAGTCAGTTGTAGCTTACTAGGGTTCATTAGCCTACTATAATATTGAAGGTAAGAATTAACTGATTTGTAGCTATACAAACACTTAAATCACACTTTTATTTATTTGTATAATAAGAAAGTTATATGAAATATAAATATTTAAATGGTGGCTGTCATAAAAACTTGCCAGATTTATTCAAACATGCATTAAATATTGAAGAACATTCAAAATTATAATGAATATGTAACATGGTGCAAATATTTAGCAAAATTCTCCTCTCTAGAGTTCACTTTTCTAGCTGACTAACTGACTAAGTTTATGGTCACATGGTTTACTGAGGTAAATGTGACACATTGTTTACAAGCAGGGGTTAAATTGGGATTTATTATGTGGGGGTGCTCTCCCTAGGGGGGTCCGGGGGCATTACCCCGGGATTTTTTTTTTGGAAAAATAAACCATTAAATAGCACTTTCTGGAGAGTTTTGTGCAAAGAAATGGAGAAATTGAGTATTACATGATATGTGAAAAACTGCAAGGTTAAGAGCATTTACTTTGCAACAGGTATTAGGACATTTAGCATTTACATTACTGTTAATCAGTCATCACTTGATTACACGTTGTATTACCTTGTTATGATATAGTGAGTGACCCATACAATGTGCCAAACATAATGTGCCACATGGAGAGACAGTGCAGCATATGACAGTAGCAACAGCTGAGAAGATTTGGGTCTGTGGTGACCAGGTCCACCTCATACAAACTTCCTTCTCCCATTCTCTCTCTTTACTACGACAACACACACACACACACATAAAAAGGCAAAGTTTTGATTTCTGGCTCCAGTGGTTGCCTCACATAACCCACATACACAACCCACGTAAAGTTGATAATTCCGCGAATAACTGCAATTGCAGATTTCGAACAGAGATGGCGAGGTCTAGCAAGTCTTATATTTAATTCACACAGATCAAATACAAATATGCTGACTGAATAGATTGCTAGTTTATTTTAAGTAGCCAGCTAAAGTTAAATTAGCAGTTCTCTTGGCAGTTTGCTGATAATCCGGTATCTGAAGTAAAATGCTCAAAACATCTCCTGAGAAAAATCACATGGTCAACCTAGTCCTGGTTATTTAATTTTGATTTAGTCTTATTTTCCTTACCTTGTCATTCAAGGCCAGGGCACTTTTTTTGACATTTCTGGAACATCCACATCCCGCGCAACCACGTGTCAGATGTGCATGCGCGAGCGGTGCGCGATCATGGTCGACTGACAACGAGATTAAGCAGCTGAACAAAAATACGGCCGATTGTTCTCATCTCAGCTCCGCCGAGACAAAATAGACATGCCATTTCAAAAATCTTTCATTTATTGTCAGAAATATGTTTTCAAAAGCATCACTTTCATCAAATTGTATGTGACATAATTTCCAGTAGGCAACTGACTGCAAACGAGCAGGCTTATGTGCCGGGGCTGAGCCCCGGAGAGCCCCGGCCCAATTTAACCACTGTTTACAAGCTGTTTAACTGACGTCTTTCCACGGATGAAACACTGATTGAGCGATACCACGTTACATGATATGGATTTCGATAAGTTGTACTCTATCTTTTAACACACTTTCAGACGTTCATTCATGTTTATTCGGCGCTGTAACTGGTATTATTAAGGCGGAAGAGGAGATCATGTGCTTCTGCTTCTCTTGAGCTGAGCAGCGCCCGAGCGATCTCACGCCACAGCGCCAAAACGCTATTTATGTTTTTGAATTTTGTAAGAGAATGGACGTAATTCAAAATTTGAGACTTTATTTCATAATAATAGTCACAAAGCACAAAGATTATTGTGTTTTATTGGATGGGATGCGCGCTACAATGTTCCATTCATTCATCAAATAAAAACAGGATGACTAATCGATTCTTGAGATTTAAGAATCAATATCGGTTCGTAAAAATGAGAATCGATTAATATCGACAAATCGATATTTTTTTACCCAGCCCTAATTATAACAATTTGAAATTTTAAAATTATATATCATACAAAAAATGTTTTGAGCTGGTTTATTTTTTCAGGAGTATAGAGACATCAAGAATCAACATATGAATATCAACAATAGTGACAATCAACAAAGCCTTTTTGTGACTTTATAGTAGTTCAGAGTTGATCGGAATTTTTATTTATTTATCACCATTGTTGTAATTCATATGCTGATTCTTGATGTCTGTGTGAGTCTATATGGTCCTGTCAAAACATTTTCTGTATAATGACTTCATAAAATCTGAGTATCACAGCACTGCAGGATCTTCTATAGCAGTATTTAAATGCAAAATTAACAACTAATATTTAACGACTTAATCAGATATTCCACTTCAGGTGGTATCAATATAGCAGGCAACTGCATGCTGACTATTATCACTAAAAAGTGCTCAACATCATCTGATCTGAGATTCTCTTGGATTCCTACAATAACAAATATGTATCAGAGACACACAGTTAAAGCAGCAAGAGAAAAAATTATGTTAAAAACTAAAGGGTCAAGAGCCCAACTAAAGCAAACACTGATCTCCATTATTATTTTCAATAAAATATCAACTTCTAAACCTCTTTATGAAAAATATCTTAATATGTGTTCCAAAGATGAACGAAGGTCTATGGGTTTGGAACGACACAAGGGTGAGCAATTAAAGACAGAAAATTTGTTTATGGGTGAACTAACCTTTTAAACACACAGTTCTGTAAGCTTTCACAGAAGTTCGTAGA